CCCCCCCCCCCCCAGAAGCGCGGTCGACTGAAGTTCACTGTCAATTGTTTATAATTCTTGATACTGATTTTCATGCGGAAGCGGTTGTTTGACTTTGCGAGCCAGTGTTTTATCATCTAGTTAAAGATGGGTTCGATCGTCTGGTATGCCAACTCGATGGATGAGCTCATCACCCATGAACAGATAGTTTAGAACGTTTTTCAAGTGTCTGGTTTCTCATAATTGGTTATTCTACACTGTACGTTTCAAAAGACAACTACCCAAGTTCGGCAGTATGTGCTAGAGAAGGTCATGGAATAAACGAGGTGATTTCTTAGGGAAATATGTATGAGTGGAATTAATTTTACACAAGAGCCTACATTCGCAAGAGCTTAGTTTGATGTACAATAGTACCCTTGAAAACTTGTTGTGAGAAAACTGCATCACTAGAGTCAGGGACCAGTTATAAGGCATCGGTTATATCTCGATGTGTTTCAGAGGAACTAATACCAGTTTTGTGTGGAAGATTCGTGCCATATATATGGGCAGCAGGAGCAGACATCCAAATGGGTATTCTCATTTCTTGTAATACAGCGTTGAAATTGATGTAAATATATTTTGCCAAGTGTTGATGAACGAAGTTATCATTGCTGGACCCAGGGTTACAAGCATTTTATCATTTTATCCCATTTTGCTACTCAGGAGTAGTCAGGCATTACCAGTTGTTTTGATCTGGAGCCAGATGTCTACCTTTCGGGTCTGCCGCATTGGGTTCAGTCAGGTGTTGAAAACATTTGCACAACTGATGGCGAAAAAAATAATACAGAACTGCTCGCTATTATTCTATTGATTTATTTTGATAACTCACATGATTGAAGTCAGCTTGATAAAATATATGTTGAACTTCAGCGTCTACGCTGTCGTAATCCGTAGGAACTACCCATTCGCCAACTTCTTTGCGATCCAGTTTTCCGTCCTTGTTCAAATCCCGATAAAGTGCGAACTGTTCACGTTCACGGGCAACCCATTGCGGTTCCTTCATCCCACGTGACAATCCCACATGATACGATTTGCCCAGTTCATCTTCATTTCAAAGGAGTAATCGGGTGTTGTAAGCGAGAATCAGAACTTTTGTTGTTCGTTTCACTGGTTGAAATTTGAATAAACTTATCGATGAAAACTAAACATTATCAATCAAAATAGGGATATAATTCGATTAAAATTGAATTATTACACGTGCATAGCAAAACGCTTTTTACATAGACTCTTGGTGGGAGTGAATTTCGGTTATATCTCAGTTGTTATATTAAAAATGGAAGTAAAAAGCCTAGCAACTATCGAACTCTATGGTATTCTGTTATTCCTGATATTTGCCAAATGAGCAGACAGAGAAAGTTGAAAGACATCACATTTCGGGTCCTTCCGATGTACCACCTTAACCTATACAAAGTAATATTGATAAATCATTTATTGACAAATATTGAAAATTGGTTCTCATAGCTCGGGTGAGCTGAATTCCATTGGCCTATTTACCTAGCTTAGCAATTTGTTTGCAAACGTTCCATCACCAGCCGAGGTGACATCATCAGTATTGTCACCTCTGCTGGTGATGAAACGTTTGTAAACAAACTGCCAAGCTCGCCGAACAGACGCAATGGAATAAATCACTTCTTAATTACAAGCGTTCTATTACCATTGAAAAAAGTGAAAAAACGCGAGCTGTGAAGTAGTGGATCCGGCATAGATTTCATCTTTTACATTTAATAATGATTAAAAATTTTAAGAAATGTCATTTTTTGTTTTCTGTGAGACAATGAAACATCCCCGGCTTGGTTGTTTAGATTTTTACTGGCTCTTTCCATTACTGAAAGTATTTCGGTAGTTAAACTAAACGTATTCGGATTTACGGCCGCCCAATTAGGTGCTCATTCAATTTTTTTCAATTATATATTACTCGCTTGGCTGATTTCAAGTCATCTTTCGACGCGATATCATGCCCAATTCCTCTTTGGATTTCATTCACGTACATGTACCATGTACAAGGATCACCGTCCTGGGGACGTTGGTCCGTTTACATGCATTTCACCAGATCTTGACTAATCACCGAGGTTAAAATTTACCGAGAAAATTAAGACTATAAAACAAGTAACACATTATGAGCAAAACTGACATTGGTTATCGATTTCGCGTGCTCTCAATCGGTTGTCTACGCACAATAAATAGTTCTCATTTTACAAGAAGAATACAATATACGGACTTTAACAAAATTACATGGGTTTGGGCAGAAAGAACTGGGTTGTTGAGTCATTAGCAAAGTCATTTGGGTATGAGTGAAAGAGGAGGAGCACAGAAACGGTTACATAGTGAAAAACGATTAGCCACGGAGGAAAGAGAGTTGAACATGATTACGTAATACGAAAAAGAAAGAATTCGAACAGACATTGAAAGTTAACAGAGTAAAAAGTTGGTCAATTAAGTAGGTCAAAAAGAGTTACGTAATAAGAAAATGAGAAGGGTGAAGTGTCAAAGATGATGGTAAAGGAACATCCGAGATGATGAAAAGGAAAGGGGAGAGGAATTATCATGGTAATAACAACTGCATTACAAAGGCCTTTTGTGCGCATAGATCAGGACTCAAACGGCTAATGGCAACCGCTTCAGCAAACCTAAGCATCCTTGGGCTTCGAATTTTGAGCATAACGCCGAAAGCTTTGCATTTGTCATTGTACTGTCTGGTATCCAGAGAATATCGGGCCACTG